TGGATTTGGATATCCGTGGGTATTCTGTTTTTAGTCGGATTTTCGAAGTCTGGATATCCAAAACCACGGATCCAAATCCGAAAACTTTTATTTTGGATCTAATCTAATAGATTTAGATACTCTGAAATTTTAGGATATTCATATCCAGTCTAGTCTTATTATCCGACCAAATATATAAAATATTAGACGTAATTAATTTATTACCGAATATATAAAAGATTAGACGTAATTAATTTATTTGTGATTATTCTTTATAATTTTCTTTAAAGTTCCAAAAGCTAAAATCATTGAAACAAGATCTATGACAAAAAGCAACTAAAACCAAAATCATTTTGCTTCCTCGTGCCATTTTTAGTTCACGCTGCTCGAGGACCGTCCCTTGCAAAAATCTACTATACAAATTAACGTTCACGCGCTCTCACGGCGCGTGAGCCACCTTAACGTAATCCATATTATACAAACGAACTGGAGAAACTGAAACTGTATTTAAGCAATTTGGTGATCATTCATGCATGAGTGCATGACCATCATTAACTTTGTCGTTTTGAACGAAGAGGAAAATAAGATACAAATATGCATGCGTGGCCAACAATTAGGAAAAATCAAGGGCACAAAAGATAGTTTAATGCTGAGGGTTTGAATCACTTTTTGATAAGTTCAATTTTTTTGATAAGTAAGGGTTTGAATCTTGTTATTACGATTTTGATTATGAGTAACTACGGTCGATGTTTTATGTGATAAGAATATACGGTTTTTAGTAGGTTTTGAAAATTGATATGAATTTCGATTTAAATTTACGAGTTATTACAAAATAAAATAAAAGAGATATTCTTATGATGACTTCATAGCTTAAAACTTTGGAGATCCAAGAGCCCTCATCTGTAGGTACAATTAGATACTAAATCTAACATAATCACAATATTAATTTTGTTGTATATAAATGGAGTAGTAAATAATTTTTTTTCAACCAAACTATAAATTAAAAGATGCCACCGTAATTGAAAATCCAATTAAGTAGATAATTGCTTACAAAAAAAAAATTCAAAATCTCTAGTGCGTGTTAAACGGGTTAAAAAGTCCACTTTTAAATTAAAAGAGCGAGAAATCAAAGACAAACAAAATCGGCGGAAACGACTATTTAATTCCCTAAAATTATTTGCTAGGATGGAAAATGCAGGTTATTCCTCGAAATTTTAGACGATGTTAACAAGGTCTGAATAATCTGTCTCATAAATAATTTCTTCTATTTAAAAAAAAATGTTGAACAAGCATACCAAAAATAATTGCATCGATCTAGTAAATTTGTATATTGTATGATAACAATACATTTGTGTATATATTTTAATTACTTAAACACATAATGAATACAATAATTGTTGTGTAGATTCTGGGAAACAAATGCTATTGGCCTTGAATTTTTTGTAGATTGTAAATGAGTTTTTGGTTTTTCTTTTTAAAAAATTCATTGAGCGCGAGTCACTAATCAGATTTCAAAGAAATAGTTTTCTTTGAACTTAGGAAAATCTTTTTTGTTTTAATCACCCATTCAAGTTTTTAATTAGGTCTCTATTTCGCCTTAAGAAATCTATTTTTCCTAGTTTATGTGGTCATTTAAATTAGTATTAATTTGGAATGGATTACAAAAACTTTATAATACAAAAAAATAAAAAAACCAACGGTCTTTTCTACATCAACATTTTAATGAAACAAGCTTTTGTATGGCACATTGGTGATATCAAAACAAATTTATTCCGAATTTAAATAGATCAAACAAAATTAAGGCATTTATACATAATATTAACTGAAAACGGGTTTCTAACTCTTTTAGCGATAACACGCAAACAATTTTTATGATTTTGGTATAGGTTTTTTTTATTTGATTGACATTATTAAATTTGTTTCATAAGAGTTAATTTTGAGGAAACCGCTTTAGGAACTGTTGAACAAAATTGACCTGAAGAACCAAACCATATGAAATAAAATCTAATAGTTAAATCTAAACACTAAATAAACTGCATCCATTCATGACCTAACTATTTTTCGATTATCTGTTGAGATTGATAACCGCGCCAATTAGAACAAATAAGAATGAAACCAAAAATAGTTATCATTTTGATATGAAAATAACAAAATTAAAAGGCTCCACCTCCAAAATCATGACATTGATCAGGACTTAAAAGTCGATATTAGTTTAAAATCAAGACACGAAATCATGACTCAAGAGCATTCCTTATGGAGCATCGCGTTACATGACTTAAGAAAGCATAAGATTGTTGTTAATTTGTCTTTCTATGATCATATGCCTGATCTTCTTGAATCAACCATCACCAACTACATCTCTCCCATTTCTTTCATGCCTCCCGATCTTAATGAAATTACATTAAAATTCAATTGAAATAGACTCCAACTCCATAGTAATAAAGTTTTTAACATTTTCATCATTAGAAAAAGAAAAAAAAAGATAAAACGAAGTCAATTGGAATTAAATCTAGACGATAGTAATTACAATTAAACTTAGGGTCTTAATGTCTTATACGTACGAGCTAGATGTATATACTACTATTATAATAACTGCATCATTTAATCACTAACGAACAATTGTGGCGAAACATACGAGAGAGACAGAGTTTTAATCCGGTGCAACGCCCGCGTACGAGTTTAAACGTAGCTCAAGGGAAGCAAAATGACCATGATCACGACCGTCGGATTGTCCATACTTCCAGATGGCACCACCACCACCATTGATGTGATCTTCACCGTGCATAGGGAAGAGAGGAAGTGTACGTCTATGTTCCAGATAAGCATCACCACCATATTGGTCATCTTCTTGATGACCTTCTAGACCAAACAGAGGCTTTGGTCTATCGAAGAAGTTGTAAGCTGGAGCTGAGTAATGATGATTGTGATCCATGTTTGACCATCCTCCTCCACCTATGTTGTTGTAGCTCATTGAACAATCTTGTTCCTTAACCCCCAAAAATTCAATTTCAGTAAATGTATATATTCATATATGCAGGATATATACGATTTGATGAATTAATTGACTTGCGTACCATAGATCCATAGACATGGCTACTCATGTAGCCATTAGAAGCATTAACAGCACCACATTCAGAACCTGAATTTGCATGATTTAAATTCCCTTCAATAAATATGTATTAGTAAGCATATATGTATCTATATGTTTCAAAACGATAATATAAAGAGAGAATGACGAAAGAAAAAACATAAAATTGATAAGTTGTGTTTCTACTAACCCAAATCCCTAATTTTGTTACAAATCACAAAGAAAAAAAATACACGTGAGGCTTATTTAGTTTCCATTACACAACAAAGAAACCGTTCTCTAGAAGCAAATTTTGTTTGCCCGAATCAAGATCCCTAGCTTCACATATACGTCATTACGTATACACATATCTATCAAAATCGTATATCATGAAAACCTTCTTCTTTTGCTAATTCACGAGCTAGTGATGTACATGGTTCCTAATAATATATGTTTAAAATTAAAAAAAAAAAAGATCTTCTGAATAAATTCATAAAACAATATTTTAAAAATCTTCTTAACGTTTTATACGTCATTACATAAATCTATCAAACTCATATTTGTAAATTTTAACCCCAAAAAAGAAATCACTTATGCCAATTTTCTCAATTTTTTTCTACTAATTATAGTGGTGTAAATGGTAACTAGCAATATAAATCAACATTTCTTTACAAGCAGAATCATCTAAATCAATTCATTAAAATCTCTTATATAAGAAATTAATTATTCACCGTTATTGAAGCTGGGATATGATTTGTTATGGTGAAGCAGATGATGTTCTTGGTCAAGCTTAACGTTGACAGAAGCCGGTCTCTGCATGGAAACACC